CCCAAAAAGGGCGCGAAGCAACGGAAACCCCGCCTCCTGCGCTCGCCAGCTGGGCTCTGGCAAACCACTTCCGAAAAACAGTTGCCTTGAAAACTGCAAGGACTTGTCCAAGCAGTCACTGCAGGGTCAGCAATGACTGAGCGCAGACAAAAAAAAAAAACACAATTAGCTATAAAGGATGGGTCATACATCCTAACAGCCACTGTTGGCTCTGTTTTCTGCTACCATCAGAATGGCTCCTCCTGTTAAGTTTTAGTCCTGGTCTCAGTCCCTGAAGATGGACTAAGCATTTCCCTGCACAGGAAAGGGTTCAGCACAGAGATACTGAGGCACAGCAGTATCTCAGGTGAGTCAAAAAGATGACAGCACCCCTGCAGTGCAGAGTACCCACTGTCATTATTAACCTCTTCTTCCTGCACCAGTACTCAAGGGCCTGCCAATCCTAATGATAATCTAATGGTGGGTTGACACCTGTATGGCAAAATCCAGTGACAGACCTGCCTTCAGGAGCTCCTCCTGTTCAAATTCCAGGTGCAGGGTGAAGTCTTTCTGGGTCCACATGTAGGATGAGGCTTTGGTTCAAAATGTCCAGTTGTTTCAGCAGATAGCATAGGTCCTCCACACCCATGTTTACCATCACTAATAATGTCTCTTGGGCCGGGAAGGGGCAATTAGGATCAGTCATGTTCCAAGCAATTTCACAAGACATTTCTATCAAGACTGGTAGTGACAGAAAGCCATTTAATAGTCCCTCTGACCATGGTGCCACTAGAGTGTCTAATCTCTTTACCTTGTTTTTGCTCTGTTCTGTTCTGTTCTGTAAATTCTGTTGGCTCAGCCAATCTGCAATTATACTCTGCAGACTTTTTGCATATTCTGTCAGCTCTGCAGACTTTTTAATGTATTCTGCCAACAGGTCAGATACATTTTCACACAACTGAATTAGCAAGTTGTCTCCATCTTGCTTTACCCAATACACCAATGCTGCCAATACCAAGCATTAATTCATAGCTCTGATTGATAGGCAGTGTGAATTTATACTGGGATCACCACGCTTGAATTGAACAAGACTGCAATGGACTCTCCAACCTATCAGACTGGCATCTGTTGTAATTTAGTCCTTGGCTAGTTACCTCAGTGGAATTCCCCTTGCAAAATTGGCTTGAACAAGCCACCAGCTAAGAGACTCGTTCATTCTCTTTGGGATCTCTAGACCTAGATATGGTCTGATGGCGACCTGTTTCTAAAATGGTAATACCACTGCAGTAGTCTGTAATGGACAATGGGACATGGGACAGCATGCTCTGCCATGATCATCAATCTCTGCACCCTTGCAAGGGCCATAACAGACTGCATTTTGGATGTTAGGGTCTTCTTTTTTTTATATCTATGAAGATTCCCAGGGGCAAGAGTTGTTTTGAATGCATTAATAAACTTTTATCTAGATTCACTATGAATCTTTGTTTTCACAGACACTGAAAAGTCTGAGTGATGTTCTTGATTGCTCTCTCCCTTGAAGGAGCCCTGATGAGCAA